GTATTATAATGATCACCTATACATTATATAGCCACTGTATGTATTATATTGATCACCTATACATTATATAGCCTCCTATGTATTATAATGATCACCTATACATTATATAGCCTCCTATGTATTATAATGATCACCTGTACGTTATATAGCCTCCTATGTATTATAATGATCACCTGTACGTTATATAGCCTCCTATGTATTATAATGATCAGCAAACACAAATGCTCCTGCGCTTGGGGATGGACTCGATGCTACAACCACATTAAGAATGTCCTGGAACATGCACACCTTGCTGCCCTCAAATGGACCGGGGGAATCCAAATATACTGAATGGGGAAAGAACAAAAAGAGGGCGCACAGGCCTAGTGCATTACCATAAAAAATGTTTAATAAAAAATAAAGTAGGTGTTGTACTCACAAACGACAATATAGTCAAGGCACATCATAAAAGAACAGCTGGATCAACACCGCGCTGAGTAACAGTCCGCAATAGGGAGTTTAGACATCCAAAAGGCTGGCGCGTTTCGAGGACTTGCCTCTTCCTCAGAGCCAACTGACCAAATGTCTGCTCCCTCTTTTATATGCTCACTACTAGTTAAACCAAAGGTCACATGGGCCGTCCTGGACACTCCCCTGTGCAGGTGGAGGAGTCACAGGGGCAATCGACATAGTGTAAGTAAACACGAAAGGTCTATAAAAAAAAAAAAAATATATATATATATATATATGTGTGTATAAAATAAAACCATTGAAACTAGTGGCAATCATAAAATCATATGAACCATAAGAAGTGTGCACAGTGAAAAATGAATAAATGGAAAGTTACACATATATATAAAAAATAATAAAAATCCTTCCCTGGTGATGCACTGCACTGCTCGCCTTTAAATAAATGGATGGATGAGCAACGCTACGAAGCTGCAAGTCCTCGAAACGCGTCAGACTTTTGGATGTCTAAACTCCCTATTGTGGACTGTTACTCAGCGCGGTGTTGATCCAGCTGTTCTTTTATGATGTGCCTTGACTATATTGTCGTTTGTGAGTACAACACCTACTTTATTTTTTATTAAACATTTTTTATGGTAATGCACTAGGCCTGTGCGCCCTCTTTTTGTTCTTTCCCCATTCAGTATTATAATGATCACCTGTACATTATATAGCCCCTGTGCGTATTATAATGATCACCTGTACATTATATAGCCCCTGTGCGTATTATAATTATCACCTGTACATTATATAGCCCCTGTGCGTATTATAATGATCACCTGTACATTATATAGCCCCTGTATGTATTATAATGATCACCTGTACATTATATAGCCCCTGTATGTATTACAATGATCACCTGTACATTATATAGCCCTGTATGTATTACAATGATCACCTGTACATTATATAGCCTCCTCTGTATTACAATGATCACCTGAACATTATATAGCCCCTGTATGTATTATAATGATCACCTGTACATTATATAGCCCCTGTATGTATTACAATGATCACCTGTACATTATATAGCCCCTGTATGTATTACAATGATCACCTGTACATTATATAGCCTCCTCTGTATTACAATGATCACCTGAACATTATATAGCCCCTGTATGTATTATAATGATCACCTGTACATTATATAGCCCCTGTATGTATTACAATGATCACCTGTACATTATATAGCCTCCTTCTATCACACACCAGACATTGCATTACATCTGTACAGCCAACACACTGCCCTCCCTCTCCCTCTCGAAGCCCCACCTCCGACCCGGTCACATGGCCTTGACGTCACGGCTCCTCTAAACCCCCTTACCTTGTTGTCCCTGCTGGTCTCGCCGTCCCCCCTGTACTCCTCAGACTCCGCCCCCTCCAGGGCCCCTGTATGCAGGGAGAGGCAATCACAGGGGCCCCCGTCCTTCTCCTGGAGCCGGCTAGGCAGGTAAGACGTGCAGAGAACGGCCTGATGTGTTTGTGTGTTGCCTGGTTACATCCACTGACACTGGCTCATGTAGTGGGGAAGATTCCTTTGGGCAGGCATTTCACTCCAGCTGGGCAGGACTACAAATCTCAGCATGTCCTGATGGAGGCCAACAAATCATTCTGAGGATTTATATATTTCTGGGGTGATCAAAGGTGCCTGCAGATGTCTTAAAGGGGCTGTCCACCTTTTATCAAGAGTGTGCCCCCATCTGTCATCAGGTCAGAGGTCAGTGTGTGCCTTCTGTGACCACTTACCTCCCCCCACACTTTATATATATATAATTATTATTATGTCCTAGTATGGGGTTATTTAATACATTGGATTATCATGTGTTGTACATAGATCTTCATACGTGTCCACTTAAAACCACAAGGTGATGTCTGTATTGTAGAGTAAATGTAGTCCCCGGACCCACTCATGACATGGGAGAGTCAGGGCTTATGAATGTGTTGTGCCGCAACATAGTAAATGTTAGTGTTTTTTATATGTCTGTGTATGTGTATGTATATATATATATATATATATATATATATATATAAATATTTATCTTTCTGCTGTGATCTGACTTCCTGTTAGAGGGTGGCTACATTCATCCTCCATGGTCCCAGTGTATGTAGAAACGTAGTCACTCTCTCTTTCTTGCTCCTGAGATGTACTATGGGATTTGCAGTGTGCATAGAGCAATGCACATGACCACAACTAGGTCTAATTTTTCAAACAGCAGTACACCGCAGTGCAGGGATCTGAACCACCTCACTGAATAACATTGCTTCTTATGACACATTGGTTATTTAGCTTTACAACTCATGTAAAAACCCAAAAGTGTGAAGAAGGCCTTAACATGCAGTACTCCATCAAATGGGGGGCACTCTTTATGTCTGGAGGAAAAGAGATTTTATCTCCAGATACGGAAAGGTTTCTTCACAGTAAGAGCTGGGAAAATGTGGAGTAGACTCCCTCAAGAGTTGGTTCTGGCCAGCTCAGTAGATTGCTTTAAAAAAAGGTCTGGATTCTTTCCTAAATGTACAGAATATAACTGGATACTAATATTTATAGATAAAGTTAATCCAGGGAATATCCAATTGCCTCTCAGGGTGTTAGGAAGGAGTTTTTTCTCCTGCTGGAGCAAATTGGATCATGCTTTGCTGGGTTTATATATATTTTATATATATATATATATATATATATATATGTGTGTGTGTGTGTGTGTGTATTTATTTCAGGTACTTTATATAGCGCCGTCAATTTACGCAGCACTTTACATATATGTATTGTACATTCACATTGGTCCCTAACCCTCGAGGGGCGTACAATCGAAGAGATATATATATATATATATATATATATATATATATATGATTGTATAATTTTTTGTTTCCCTTTTAAGCCCAGGTTCACACTGATGTGGTGCGGAATTTGCAGCGGTTTCCACACCGCATCATGATCGCACCCCGTTCCTGCGAACTGCTGCAGGTGTGTATGTTAAGTTGATGACACCCTGAAATCTGTTCGCAAAACGCGGTGCGATGTGCAGAATCGGATCACATAGGTGTGAATACCCATGCGATCCGATTCTGGTGCAGACAACAAAAAAGGGTCCTGCACTATATTGGTGTGATCTGAGCCATGCAAAATGGCTCAAATTTCACCGCACAGAAATTGCATGTGATTCACACAGGAATGCAGTGCTGTTCCTGTGCGAATCACATGCGATGTGCCGCCCCACATTAGTGTGAACCCAGGCTAATGGTTGAACTACATGGATGTGTCTTTTTTTTTTTTTTTAAACTGAACTATGTAAATGGAAGTGAGGGGGAAAATGAGAGGTGTGTGAGCTTGCAGAGGATGTTTCAAGGGGGTAGAAAAACACAGCAAGAAACAGATTACTGGGTCATTAAGTAGTGGATGTGTATGGATTATTTTTGGAGAATGAGGATATTCTTTAGAGTCCATACGAGCACTCTGGCACTGCCCGAGGGCCCGGCGTCAGTAGGGGGCTCCATGAAATGCCCCTGGTACCTTTTTATAGGCTTTTTTGGGTGTATTTTGAGTGTGGGCAAGGACACAGGGGCCCCATGATTCCCTATTGCCCGGGGACCCCATGAGTTATCAGTCCGTCACTTTATTGTCCATAATGAGCAGCACAGTGGTTAAATGGTTAGCACTTCCGCTTGGCAGTACTAGGGTCATTAGTTCGAATCCCAACCACGGCACCTCCTGCCTGGAGTTTGCATGTTCTCCCGGCGCCTGCGTGGGTTTCCTCCGGGTACTCCAGTTTCCTCTCACACTCCAAAGACATGCTGGTAGGTTAATTGGATCCTGTCTAAATTGGCCCTTGTATATGAATGTGAGTTAGGGACCTTATATTGTACGCTCCTTGAGGGTTAGGGACTGATGTGAATGTACAATATATATGTAAAGCGCTGTGTAATTGACGGCGCTATATAAGCACCTGAAATAAATAAATAAATAATAAAAAACATGGCCAGAAGCCGCTAAAGTGCCTGGAAGTCCCGAGACATTCTCCAGCCTTTGACAGGATAGATGGCAGTACAGTGTACTTGTTTACACAACATGCTCACCATGGGTGACAGTCACACTACAAACATGTAGAGATTTCCTTCATCCAGATCAATGTCTTTGATGGTGACAATACCTGTACAGGGGTCTGTTCTTAAAAATGCTTGATCTCTTTTTTTTTTTTTACACCATCATCATTTTAAATTTCAGCTGTTTTCACACTGATCAGGTTTTCTATATGTTAAAAAAAAAGAAAAAAACAGAATAAAAATGCATGGAGAGCACCTCCATTGTATTATTCCTGGTTTAAAGTGTTTATCTCCTTTTATTTTGCAGACAAATTCAGTTGACAGTTTGATGCTCTTCCCATCCTCTGTCTTCAAGATAATAAAACATCTGAATTAGAGGAACCTGGACGGTGTTGCAGACGATTCAGGATGTTGGAGCCTTCATAAAAACAAAAACTCCATTTATTATCGTTGACTCCCATTCTGGATTTCCTATGTTCAGCCTCATGGCCAATTGCTGTCGGGATTTATTCAAACGATGGCGTCAACCAGTAAGGTAAGATAACGCATTAATGGTGATCTGCTGGTAAATTTTAACACCTACCTCCAGCCAAAATGTTTTGTTTTGCTTTGGGTGAAGGTAGGGGTGACCCTATTGGAGAGGTATCCCTTCATTTCTTGTAAGGGCAGTATGTGATGGGAAATCTCACTAAAGCCCCATTCACAAGGGTTTACACTCACCTCTAAAAAGTAATCTGTGGTGAGTCACCTTTTTGAGGTGGTTTAGAGTTGGTTCTCAGGAGTTGATACTGCTGCCTTTTGAATTGCTTGGGGGGGTTCAATCCCAAGGGATATTTTACATTGAAATACTGTACATGAAATACTTTAGAGGGCACATTTGCAAACAGAACCACATACCAAATGTGACATGCCTTAAAACTTTTTTCACAAAGTGTTGCGGTGGCAACTATGTATACCTCCCCAAGTGGCCACCATGTAAAAACGTAGGTTGGGGGGCAGTAAAAACACAGATCATCCTTCTGTTTTACTGTACCTTTGCTGCCTACATTAACTGCTTCCGTGCCGCCCTATAGCAGAAATACTGCTACAGGTGCGCAAAATCATGTATATTGCCATTCGCAGCCTTGGCTGTCAATCACCAGGCCCTGGCTGGTGATTCCCCGCCAGCACTCGGAGATCTCCGAGGATTTCCGACAGGGGAGAGACCTGTATATAAACAATACAGATCTCTCCCCTTTCAGCCCCTGCACACTGCTTTGTATAGCTCTACATAGCAGACCCATGCAAAGCAGTGTGCTTACAGTGAAACACACACAGCCCACATTGTAAAACAGCACACAACCCTTTGCTCGATCCACATGTTAACCCCTTCCTGCCCAGTGCCATTAGTACAGCATCAGTCCTTTTTATTAGCACTGATCGCTGTATTGGTGTCACTGAGGATGTCAGTGACAAGAAGTCAGTCCCCCCCCCCAGTGTCAGAATGCCCACCACAATTGCTGATCGCCGCCATTACTAGTAAAAAAAAAAAAAAAAACAAATTCCAGTATATATACTGCCATTTGTAGACGCTCTAACTTTCACATAAACCAATTAATTTACACGTATTGAGATTTTTTTTGTTAGCAAAGACATGGAGCAGAATACATTTTGGCCTAAATTTATGACAAAATTAGATTTTTAATTTTTTTTACTGGACAATAGCAAAAAGTAAAAAATATAGGTTTTTTTTTTTTGTTTTTTTCCATAATTGACGGTCTTTTTTTTGTTTATAGCGCAAAAAAATAAAAACTATACAAGTGATCAAATACCACCGTAAGAAAGCTATATTTGTGGGAAAAATAGGAAGTAAATTTCATTTGGGTGCAGCGTTGCATGACCGCGCAGTTGTCAGTTAAAGTAACGCAGTGCTGTGTCGCACAAAACGGCATGGTCAGGAAGGGGGGTAAATCTTCTGGAGGGCAAGTGGTTAAAGAGCACTAACAGAGACACAGATTGAAACAAAGACACATTTTCTCCTCCACATTTTGAATTAGGGTTAGAACTTTTGACATTCTTTGCCCATGCCAATATGTTTGCAGTATTTCTATAGCCCTGGCTGCTCATGGTGCAGTCACGCTTGCCAGGTAACCCCATGCTACGTACACCTATACACACCTTTTGTATGACAGGTTGCTGAATTTTCCCTGGCCTTCTGCGGAGCCACAGCTCATAAGCTAAAGCTTTCCTAATCTGTATGATCCTGAGTATTAGTTCTCTTAGATGTGATATAAGCTGCAACTCGGGTATCTGAAATCACATGACTGGGGAGGCAGAAATAAGACAGATCTACTTTTGTCTGTTTGGAAAGAGAAGGATAACATCAGCAAAGCATATGTAGATGTGTACTGAAATATTTCTTAGACAGACCATACATTATACATTTATTTTCATTCAACCAGCGGGTTGATGAGGGAGTTCCTCCCGCAGAGCTATTGTATTCTGACAGCGAGGAGGGTTTCCTGACGCCAGATTACCGCGATCAGTGTTGCTGGCTATAGCCTGCGGCGCTGATCAAATTAAAAAAAAAAAAAACTACAGGCTGGTTGTACACAAGTTGATCGAGAGATCGACTTGTACAACCAATCTGCTCATAGTGTGAAATTTGGCCAGTCCATGCCGAACTGGTGAATTTCGATCCATCTATGGCTGGCTTTAGGATGACCATATGCTATACAATCTGATTGTACAATCTTCTTTAGATCCACTATCAACTTGTGCTGCAAGGACCTGTCTGATTTTTTTTTTTTTTTTTTTTATACTGGATTTTAGTTAACTAAAGAGTAAATGCAGCATGCACAGCATGAATAGTACAAAGTATACTCTCAAATGGACAATCCTCCACCACCATGAAAGTGAGATTTACAAAAGAATCGGAGCATCAGTCAACATCGCATAGCCAACAATAGGTTAGTGCGCTGCATGACAATTCCAGATCCTAAAAACAAAACAACAGGTTCTGTTATCCAGGGGAATAACCATTAAAGCATGTCACATTATCCCACATTTATACAAAAGAAAATAGGTAAGTCTATCTCTGTAATAGAAAGCAAGATGCCAAGAAGGGACCTTGGATCATTGAAGTATTGTGGACCTTAGTTCTGCTTTAAGCTGGCCATACACTTATTTTTTATATTTTTTTATTCAGCCAGTGGGCTGACCGTAAAAAAAAAAACGTAACAGATCTCTCCTTCCACACAAACTGGGTGGCTGGAGGAGTCCTGTCTCCTGCTGGAACATTGTATTCTGACAGCTGACAGTCGCAATATACTGATGAGTGGCTACAGCTGGTGATCAAGAAAAAAATTCCAGCATGTCTCTTTGATAGATGTTGACCAAAGGTTTGACTTCCAGGATGACCACACACAGTGTATGGCCAGCTTACATATTCTTCAGCTACTGTATAAAGTACTAAACCAACTTCTCTCTGGTCTAAGAGATCACAGGACAGTAGGCGTCAGAAACAAAGAATGGCCACTGTCTATGCTGTGACTGCTATGCAGACATGAGTAAGGCCAAGAACTATTGTTGTGTATGGTAGGAAGCCCATTGCTGTGAGAGAAACAATAAATTTCCATGTATAGCTTCAGTCGCTCATAGCTTTTATAGGAAAAGTTCACAGGCTGCTTCCTGCATATGTCTTAGTAAGAACTGATACACTAAACCTCATATGACCTTTCACAGCCAATCAGTTGTTAGGAACTCTTTATATACTGCTGTGTGACCATCTGCAGTCTTGTGACTTTTCATAACACAAGACACCTTAACAAAATGTAGACACATTTAAATACTGTTCTTTTATATCAGCTTCTGCTGTCCATTTATCTCTTCTAATTGGTTTCCTTTTGTGACTTGCAGGAAGGTGACTTTGGTCATGGTAGGGCTGGACAACGCTGGCAAGACCGCAACTGTGAAAGGCATCCAGGGAGGTGAGTGACAGTCCTGGTCCGACCCTGATTGGGGGACATTTGTTCTACTCTGTCCCACTGTATCACTGAGCAACGGAGTTCAGAAATACAGAACAGTAAACCAGAAGCTCTGCTAAACAAGAGCAGAGTATGTAACAAACAAATGTAGAGGAATGCATACCACTGTCGTATGCAGTGAACATCTAATCCAAGTTCATGGAACAAATAAACGTGACCATTCAACAACAAGGAGGAAAGTGCTACATTTTTTTACATTTCAGGATATAGTTACATAGTTAGTCTGGCTGAAAAAAGGCAAACACATACAGTTCAACCATAAAAAAAAAAAAAGTTATAATCCTATACCCACAGTTGATCCAGAGGAAGGCAAAAAAACCCAGCAAAGCACGATCCAATTTTTTTTCTGCTGGAAAAATGGTCCCAAAAACCCTATACAAACTATTTTGTTTCTGCTCCTAAACACTGAAGCTTGAAAAATGGTACTAGCCTAAAATAATTTGCATGGACACATAGGATAACACTATTTACGAGCAGAAAAAAATGCTGATGGCAGCTTCTAGGAACTTAAAAAAAACTCTAGTGTGCATGGAGCCTAATACAGTAACTTACTGTACTAATGACACTGGCTGGGAAGGGGTTAACATCTACGGGAAATCAAGGGGGTTAATTGTGTCTAGCAAGTGGTAATGTGCTTACTGTGTGCTGCGTTGTACTACAGATCGATTTATTTCTTTTCCCTAGCAAGCGATCACTTCCTCTGAATAGAGCTCTGTGCTGTTTACCACACAGACCTTTAGGCTGTGATTTGATCATGAATCATTGGCTGGCAACTCCTACTGTGTCCAATCACAGAGGAGTAGGCTGGAGGGGGACGTGCGCGTGCACCCCAAACCCAGGAACAGGCAGCAATGTACCAGTACATCGTGGTGCCTGTAGCTGCCACCCTGCCGCAGTAAAAGTACTGTGGTGGGTTGGCAAAATATATGTAAAGCCAAGAATTTTTCTATTGTGTATGAAAGGGTTGGAACCTCTGTATTGTCATCTGCGGCCCTGCTGAGGTGATTCACCTTTACTGTTGGTTCTGGTAACTGTTGTCTCTGGTACAGAAAGGAATGGGACATCCAAACTTTGAGTTGTCATGAGAAATCTCCCAATGAGAATCCTGTTCTAGTGAAAACTATGGGTCACCATTCATGGTACAATCTGTCTGTACAATCATGTTTAGATTTACCAATGTAATACCAACCTAGTCTAACCAATCAAATCAGGCAGGCCCTTGTAGTACATAGTTTGATAGGAGGAGATTGTACAATCAGATTGTATGGTGAGCTTAAGAGTGAGTATCTCCTTACTTTGGAGAGATTGCCTTTTAACCTACTACTAAAATATCACTTTGGGGTGGACTAGTGGTTTTAGCTGGGGAAAAATAGATTCTAAAAAAAAACAGAAATCCTTTTTAACTAATAATCTCACATTGCATATGATTGAATAAAATATTATCAGTGTCTGTATGCACAGTATCAGGTTCATGGTTGGTGGGATGTTTGGGGCCCATGTGGGTCTCTTGTTTACAGGCTTTAGAAATCAATTTTACACCCATAGCTCAGACATTGTTTTCTGTTCTGTTTTATTAAATGACGTACCCCAAACCTTTGGCTCTTTTGTAACAGAATCTCCAGAAGATGTGGCTCCAACAGTAGGATTCTCCAAAGCAGACATTAAGCAGGGGAGGTTTGACATCACGATATTTGACCTGGGCGGTGGGAAGCAGATCCGAGGTATCTGGAAGAACTACTATGCCGAGTCCTATGGAGTGGTGTTTGTTATCGATTCCAGTGATGTGGATAGAATGGAGGAGACCAAGGAGACAGTTGCTGAAGTTCTGCGGCATCCCAGGATCGCTGGAAAGCCAGTTTTGGTGTAAGTACGGCCACAGGTTAAAGAAGCTGGCTACTGATGTTAAGGTTGTAGATGGATTCTGATGGGCAGAGTCACCTATTTATTTCATTTCAGGTACTTATATAGCGCCGTCAATTTACGCAGCACTTTACATATTTATTGTACATTCACATCAGTCCCTAACCCTCAAGGGGCGTACAATCTAAGGTCCCTAACTCACATTCATACATACAAATACTAGGGACAATTTAGACAGGAGCCAATTAACCTACCAGCATGTCTTTGGAGTGTGGGAGGAAATCGGAGTACCGGGAGGAAATCGGAGTACCCGGAGGAAACCCACGCAGTCACAGGGAGAACATGCAAACTCCAGGCAGGTGGTGCCGGGGTTGGGATTTGAACCAGCGACCCTAGTACTGCCAGGCGGAAGTGCTAACCATTTAGCCACTGTGCTGCCCTATTGGCTCCCACTGAGGTGATCTGACAGTTTCTGACTTTGCCCCCTTCCCGCTTGGAGGTTTAGATGTTCACACCTACCTCTGGGTGTTCCATCTCCTTGCATTATTCATGATACTGCATGTTAAAGAAAAAAAAATCCAGCGCCATTGGTGGGAATCTCTCATAGTGACCACAGCAGGTGTGCATACCTTAGAACCCAGCTCAGCGATCTCACCAACAAGGTCTTAGAGAGATGAAATTGTCACGTGGTTTTTTAACCACTTAAATACCCTTCCTGCCTAGGCCAAATTTCAGCTTTCAGCGCTGTCGCACTTTGAATGACAGTTGCACGGTCATGCAACATTGTAGCCATACGCAATTTTTATCATTTTTTTCACACAAATAGAGCTTTCTTTTGGTGGTATTTATTACCACACTGAGTTTTTTTTATTTTTTGCTAAATAAAAAACACCTGAAACTTTTGAAAACAAACACACTTTTCTTCATTTCTGTTATAAAATTTTGCAAATAACATTTCTTCATAAATTTAGGTCAAAATGTATTCTGCTACATTTCTTTGGTGAAAACAATAATAATAATTGAATTTGTATTTTTTTTTTCAAATGTTTCTATTTTATTTTTTATTAAATTTTTTCTTTTTTTTACTATTTTATTTTTCATCACACTGTGACCAAAGCAATACAATCTTACCATAGTAACACTGAAATACTCTGGGCAAGTGATCAGGTTTTTTTTTTTAACACATTATGATTGCTAATACTAATGTATTTCATTGATATTTGCAATCATTGTTACTGAATGAAACTGATTCATTCAGTCTTTTGTTGTGATTAGCTGTGATTGGGCAAAGCTGATCACATGATACAGATGGGCTGTGATTGGCCCTGTCTGTATCATGTGGCTGCCTTGACCAGTCACAACTAACAACATAATTGTATATAATGGATGGCATGACAGGAAGCCATCCATTGTATACAATTGACTTGTGATCTGCTGTGATTGGTCAACGGGCCGATGTAGTGATATGTCATTGGCTGTGTCCTGGGGACACAGCCGGTAACAGATCGCACCGCCCCGCGGCTCGTTTTGACAGGATGTCATAATGGTGAATGTCCCGCCCCCGGCCGTCAATCTGCTATAGGCTGGGCGGGAAGGTGTTAATTTCCAGTATCTAGCAAATGCTGAGATATCCGTTTTGGAAGGAAAGAATCCTTAAAGATCCCACTATGCCCAAGCTATAACCAAAAAGTCAGCTTTGTCATTTAAAAATGGAAAATGTCACATTTGTTTTTGAGAAGTTTCTACCACTGGAGTCAAAACTAGTCCACCTCCCCTTTAATTACTCCTCTCCATCCTCTTCTGCTTTATACACTTCTAGTGTTCACATTTCATTGGCTAAAGGAATACTTTTATCATTAAAAAAATGCCTGAAAAATGTGGCAACCAGTTTTTTTTTCGGTAGCAAGAAAGAATGAATCATTACTGTGACCCAAAATGTTCTACTTTTATACCAAGAAATATTTTCAGCAGATGAACATAGTGGACCATAGAAGACCAATAACTATGTACACATATTTGTTTCCTCTTAACAATACAGCTTGGCAAATAAACAGGACCGCGAGGGGGCCATGGCTGAAGCTGATATCATCGAATATCTTTCGCTGGAGAAGCTGGTCAATGAACACAAGTGTCTATGTCAAATTGTGAGTAAGAGTCATCTCCTAGCTGTATATCTGTAGTGCTGTCTGCTCGATGATGGGCGGCATGTTTAGCTAAATTATTCCCTGCATGTAAATCCGGCCATGTATGTCAGAGGATGGTTGGATGTGGGATCACCATCCAGATGTCCAAAGGTATCTCTCAGTCCAGCTACAGGAACAAACATGAGCAAATGGATTTCTGAGAGTTCATGTTTATCTCTGGATAAAGGACTAGAAAGGTGCATCCAGACACAAGGAATGGAAATGATAGTTTTGGGTAAATTTTTCTTTAACCCTTTGAGGAACAAGGGACGTATTTGTCCCATGTTTTCAATTGCGTGTATCGTCTGATTAAGAACTTAAAACTCTTTTTTTTTTTTTTTTTTTTTTGGGTTTTGAGTCAAAATATTAGTTCTTATCAACAAACAACAAATGGATCTAGCTTTTTGCCAATTATTTCATGAAATGGCTTAGTTACAGCAACTGAATTGTACAAACTTTAAAAACAAAAAAATTTATTTTTTTGCCGTTCCAAAATCTTACGGTCCTCAAAGGGTTAACCCCTTCATGCCGACTGTATGCAAATATGTGGGCCGACTGGACTGGGCTTTTTTCCATGGGGCTGCTTATTTGTGTACCTGTCTTTGTGTTGGGAGCATGCTGCATGGCACGCTCCAACAGACAGAGACCTGGGTCTCACTGAAAGCCCTGGGTCCCGTTCTAACGATCGGGACCCGGAACTCCTGATTTCGGGTCACCTGATCACTGTGATAGCTTCCAATTGGCTATCACAGTGATCAGTCACTGTGAAACCCGTCCTTGTGTTTTCTCTCTCTGAATGGAGGAGAGAGATACATTGTATCTGTAAAACAAAAAAAAGTGTTTGTAAAAATATATAAACAAAAATATTTAAAATGAAAAAAAAAAAAAAAAAGTACTTAGATCAATGTTTGATCTAGGTCAGTGCCAGTGTTAGTGTTTGGGTCAAGGTCAGTTTTTTTTTTTTTTTTGTTTCTTTTTATTAATCTTTAAATTAGTATCACTGTCAAAAAAAAAAAAAAACAAAACTAAAATGCGCACTATTGTTTCTGAGCCATACTCTGGGTACAAACAACAGCTAACATACACATATGTGGTATCGCTGAGATTGTCAGAAGCAGGAGAAATTATTTTGGCTTATTTGGTGGTGGGTTATGGTAGTAGCAAGACATATACAGCTAAATGGAAAACATTTTTTTTTTTACTATTTTTCTGGTATTAAGGTGGCTTCTTTCTTTTGTAGCACCCTATAAGGCCACCCTATCGTGCAGATTCTCAGGCTGGGGCTACATCTTGGCGTGAGCACGCACATGCAGCCTGAGATGTATACATTCAGAAGACCCACCTCTGCTCCTTCCCTGGAAACTGCCTTGGGATCGGCTGTCATTCACTACCCAGAAAGGCAAAGGAGAGCCTTCTCTATATCATCTTCTCAAGCTGATTGTGCATATCAGCATCCTGCTTTGCAATTAAAAATAAAAAAATAATTTAAACAAAGATGGTAATGCATGATTGGTAGTGCAACAGCTTATGGGACATGTAGTCCTGAATACTATGATTTGGTGGCTTGTCCAATGCTCCCCGGCCAGAAGTTACTAGTGTGTGACTTTAAACTGTTTGGACAATAGTTCCTTATGACTCAGTACTACATTTAATTATTTTTTGTAAAAATTGCAAGGCTTTAGTATTTCTGAAGGGTGGTACTGCTGACTTGTCCTCCTGTAAAAGCTAGTTCTCTGGCTGTCTGTCATCAATCCAGGGAACTAGTAAACCAATGTCTGGAAAATTTGTGAACAGCCAATCACTACAGTCATTATTGGTTATTCCACAATTAGGCTGGCATCAGGACTACTGGATCTCCTCATGCCTCAATGTACATTCACTCTGTACAGCGCATATCCTTCTGTTAGGGTCTGTTTTAAAAGTTTTACTATACTTTTAGAGTGGAACTTCCCATTTTTTTTTTTTGGCTTATGACGCTTTCTTTGCATCACATACACCTAAATGATAATCTTTTTATCACTTTTTAGGAACCGTGTTCAGCAGCCCTTGGCTACGGGAAGAAAATCGATAATCACATTAGGAAAGGACTGAACTGGTTATTAGGAGTCATAGCAAAGGACTTTGAAGCATTACACGAGCGCATTCAGAGAGAAACAGCAGAGCAGAAAGCCCAGGAGGAGCAAGATAAACAGAAGATTGCGGAGAGGGTGAAAAGACTGAGAGAGGAACGGTAATCGTGGAGTCCAGCTATAATCCCTTCCCAAGGAGAAACCCAACTACAACCTAAAAACACACAGCATCCTGACAAGCCTCTGAAAAAGGCCAGCCAGTCGCAACCTATTCAGACACACTTCCACAAAACCTATAGCCAATCATCACACATTCTTCCCATTCATAGTTACATAGTTAGTCTGGCTGAAAAAAGATAAAAGTCCATCCAGTTCAACCATAGAAAAAAAAGTTATAATCCTATACTCACAGTTGATCCAGAGGAAGGAAAAAAAAACCCAGCAAAGCATGATCCAATTTGCTCCTGCTGGGAAAAAAATTCCTTCCTGATCCCCCGAGAGGCAATCGGATATTTCCTGGATCAACTTTGCCTATAAATGTTAGTATCCAATTATATTCTGTGTATCTAAGAAAGAATCCAGGTCTTTTTTGAAGCAATCCACTGAGCTGACTAGAACCAACTCTTGAGGAAGTCTATTCCACATTTTCACCGTTCTCACTGTGAAGAAACCTTTCCGTGTTTGGAGATTACATTTCTTTTCCTCCAGATGTAAAGAGTGTTCCCTTGTCCTCTGATGACCTCAGGGTGAATCGCTCTACACTGAGTTCACTATATGAACCACTGATGTATTTATACATGTTGATCATATCCTCCCTTAATCTCCTCTTCTCAAGACAATAAATTCAGTTCCTCTAATCTTTCCTCATAGCTGATCTCCTCCATGCCTCTTATCAGTTTGGTTGCCCTTCTCTGTACTTTTTCCAGTTCCCCAATGTTCTTTTTGTGAATTGGTGCCCAAAACTGAACTGCATATTCCAGATGAGGTGTTACTAATTATTTGTACAGGGGTAATATGATATCTCTCTCTCTGGAGTCTATACCTCTTTTAATACAAGAGAGGATTTTGCTCACTTTAGAAACTGCAGCTTGGCATTGCATGCCATTATTAAGCTTGTGATCTACCAGAACTCCCAGATCCTTCTCCACCATTCACAACACACCTCTACATGCTTACATGTCCTGCTAAGCCCATGGGCTTTTAATGAAAAGCTCCAAGTCTGTTTTTGTGGGCCAGATTGGGTGACAACCATGACAACACACTACAGCCCCAATTAAGCCTTCTTGGGCAATGTCTAGTTATACAATTTTAAAATGTGCGTCCTTTGGAGAGAAGCAAGGAACCTTTCATTAGGGGGGGCTTTTTTATTGGTTTTATTTTTTTCAGCATTATCATTTTTATCGTTTTGACATCACGTTTACTTTTCAAACTCCTATAAATAAGGTGTAAAATTGGGAAGTAATGAGCGATTATTTTTCCACTCTTTATAAATAAGCCACTGCATCAAGCACTGATTGACCTCTGTGATTGAACATGGAACAGTTTGATTCTCATCCTCCAGTTATATTCTTGTTCCTGCAGCATGTTAGAATAGAGGGGTGGCTGAGGCAGAAAGCTAATTATTTTTACAACTGATTAATACAAGCTGTGTTTAATGCTGCTATTTTTAGAGAAGAGAGGGAGCGAGAAGAAGCGGAGCGGGAGGGACGAAAACTTGTGGAAGAAGACACATCTATTCCTATGGTCAACCCATTCCAACCCATTACTGCCGTTATCAAGGAGGTATTATCATTAAATCATCTATTTACAGTCTCAGCAAAATGATATGCTGTAAAGTTACACACAGACAGGACACAGTGATCTCAGGTCAATAATATGGCTTTCTAAAAAAAAAAAAAAAAAAAAAAGAACTGAAGAAGCTTTTTGCCTTTCGGTCTTTTTTCTTCAATTGAATATTTGTACAGAGCCCTCTAAACAGATCAGTGGTGGAGACAAAGTGCTGGCTGATTCAGCTGTATGTGTTAATTTCAGTTTGAGCTGTTGAACTCTGTAATCAGCTGGCGTTTGTGATCCTCAAAGCATAGTGATGTTGGGGTATATTCAGTCAAATGGTTTTTCCTTCACTCCACCATCAAAGACACTCTCTTAACTGGACAGTGTTAAATGAAACTTGTGTGAGAAACAGGCAAGCTTTCATTACTGACCTCTCCTTCTAAAATTGCTACTTGCCTGGCTGTTCAAATATGAACATAGCATAACCCTCTATTGTGTGTACTTGTCTCAATTAAGAGCATAAAGTGTCATTCTATCTTCTGCCTCATTCCTCCACCAGGAGAAAGAGGGCCTCCAGCAGATTGACAACCTCAGCTCTGTTCCTGTGTGCTGTGTGAAGGGGAGGGGTGTCCCTTCCATCCAATCAGATCTCAGAACTCTCCTCACAGAGCCCCCCCCCCCTGTTTTCTGAACTCTCAGACAGTACTTTGAATGGGTGTAGAGAAGAGAAGGCTGCAGATAAGTAGGTATAACTTATGTAGGAGGAATTTGTTTAATTTCTGTGTATCACCTGAGCCCAATCACTTGGGTGTATATTAGGATTTACAACCACCTTAACTCACTACTTAACTCACAAACTTTGTTTCAGAAAGAGGTGAATTCCAGCAGCCCCTGTGTTTCCTTCTGAAAGACTATAATCAAACAGACCATGCTCCACAAATGTAGGGTCTGCTTTTTTTTTCACTGCGCCCCCCCCATGCCAAAAGACTACAGCAAAGGGTGACTTTGCCACCCTTTCTGTAAGATCCTGGGCATTGCTGAGTATCCAGAATATATCTAGAAGACATTACTGTTCTGTAATTCTTGGGTACTGCTGAGGATCACTCTGAAAGGATGAGAATGTCACACCCTGTAGTACAGACTCAATAAATGAAGTAACTATATTTCGTAACTATAATTACTAACCACCTTTCCAACTGGACGTTTTTCATCTTTCCACAATGTTTTGCCCGGGGTAGCACTGAAGAAATAGTGAATTTTGCTTAGTAATACAAGAACTGATTTAAGTTGCATGATATACATTGCCAATTGAATTTTTGAATTTATGATTAATCTACAAGACCAGTGAGAGCTGATGGATGATCATTATTTAGTGCATTTAGCTCCTTTTTCTCTGCTGAACTTCATAATATACAATATTTAGAAAGAATTACTCTTCCCTTATCTGACCTTCCAAATCCACAAGTTCTCTAGTGCTTGAACACTCCCAACTGGTTCACTCTCTTTTTCTGCTGCTTTTTTTAGAATGAAGAAAAAATCAGGAAAGAAAAAGAAAAAAAGAAACAAAAAATGCAGAATGGAAAAGTTGGAGCTGAAATCCCCCTCGAGTCGAAGACTGATGAGGAGGCAGAGTCAGACAGTGAGGGTGGTGACAGCAGCCCAACATCACAAGATGAATGTTTAATGGACTCGTACAAAGATGCTTTAAGCCAGAAGCTGGAGCAGGATGACAAGAGAGAGACAGGTATTCTCTTCGAAACAAGCTGCTTTTGTATGCAAAAATATTGTTCATTTGTGTACTTTTTTTCTTGCTTGCCTCCATGTCTAGTGCCACCCGCCATTGTCAGGTATGGTCACAATCAGATGTCTGGAACTCGAAAGTACAATTTCCTATTTATTGATCACTGCCAGTGGCAGAGCAACATCTGCGTATTACTGTCTGATCTCTCTGCTTGTTCCCGTGATGCAGACAAACTGCACTAAAAGGAATACACTATATTGGCAAAAGTATTGGGACTCCCCTCCAAATCATTGGGTTCAGGTGTTCCAATCACCTCCATGGCCACAGGTGTATAAAATGCAGACATGAATGTATATATGACTGCGACAGCAAGTCCAGTATGGCGCGGCAAGTTGGTAAAGCCACGTGGGGGAGCCAGTCATATATACATTCATCTCTGCATGGAGTGTGAGGCCAGCAGATCGGGATTCATCGGAACCAGTGACTGCACTTGGAGTGGTGAGCCTAGACAATTGGACCTGGTTGTGTTTATATTGGGATTTATCCCCTGGATGACGACTTCTCGGTTGAGCACTACACACCTGGTGACTCTCTTGACTTACAAGCAGCAAGAGGCTGTGCTCCACTATCATTCCCTTCCATAGGTCACTGTTATCTGTAGCTGCTGTTTATCAGTGTTGGAATCACTGCCAAGTTTACAGTGACATTTCATCTGCAGCTGTCAGTGATATCACCATTATCTTGTACATGCTCTGACTGCCAGTGGAGACGGTCCACACAGGACTATATGTGTCAGCACTGAGCTTATACATCTTACGTGGACTGCCATGTTACTATTTTTCAGATCGCACACGCTGATATATGATCTTCCTGTGTGCTTTAAGGGGCTCCTTTTACTTTTTTGTATTTGCTTATCTAATTGCAGCATTGCTGCACTTGACATTGCAATCAGCCACAATTCATGAGGCCTTGTGTCTTTCTAGCCCAAATTCCATGTCATGCATAATCCAGTGTGTATGGGGGGTATATCTGAGTGCCCGGGCGGGTGTTTTTAAGATATGGCAACGTTGTCGTGTTTTGATCACTTGATTATGTTCAATAAAGATTTTTTCAAGCCGCAGATTGTTCTCTTTGGGCTTCTTTTTTTTTGTTGGGCCTTTCACCCACAGATTGGCGCTTTTGAGTGAACTGACCCTTTTTAACATGGTTTTTTTTTTTTTTTTTTTTTTTTAGATAATGCCAAAAAGAAGTTGAAGAAACTAAAGTTAAAAAGAAATAACAGAATAGAGCCTCTTGGCCCCCAAGAGGCAGAGACAAAGAGTCCAGCTACACCTCCCCCACAGTTACCTGGTAAGTAGAGGCTTGAGTTGCTCAAAAGATGCTTTGAACTGAAAGCAGTCCATTTTATACTGGACCCTGCAGAAGAAATATGTTACTGAACCTTATTCTCCATCCAATACAGAACACACAGGCGAAACCTCTGAACATGTTTTGAGACCTAGCATGGAGAAAAATTAGCACTTATTAAAATGATTTCAATTAATCCATTTGCTCATGAATGGAGCGCCTCCTAAAAATTGCCGTAATATTGACATCTTCTTTTTTCTGTAGTACAGAAATCTCTGGAAATTGCATCTATTTATTACTCTGTTTTATTAGTTTGTATGTAAATTGTGTAATATTGTACCATATACCAGTATTTATGCCTGTAAATAGTTTTTAAACTGGGAGATGAAATTTTGAACCATAAAATGATTGCTATCACTTATAATTGCTTGAAATGTTATAGATTGCATGTGGTATAATTTTAAAGGTAGAAGGTATTTTTGCTTTCATCCAAAAGCAGGCCGCTGTATCAGACCAGTGGAGCCGGGGTCTGCTTTTGTGTTTAAACGTGAAAAACCCCTTTAAAGTGTTCACTTTCCACAAGGATCACCTTTTGGTGCCTTGATTTGTTATATTGAGCAAAATTGTGTTTTGTTTTCCCTGTAGTTGGCTGGGGAACCCCAAAAGTTACTAGACTTCCAAAACTTGAGCCTCTGGGAGAGACCCATCATAATGGTAATTGTACAAAGCTTTCGCCTTCAGCTTCTTCGCATGCAAAACCATTTTCTTTGGTATTAACAGCACTGTCTCATTATTAACACCTGGCTCATGCATGGCTCTTTTCATATGGAAATTGGGTATAAAGAGTGGGGTTTGTGTCATCTCTGATCCATGGCAAACATAAATTCCAGAGGACCTTTTTTCAGTCCAGCCCAAACTAAACTGTTTACTTAATTTTGAGTGGTGTAGAGAAATTAGAACTCTTGTTAGGTATGAATTGATAATCAGCATGGAAGCCAGCACACTAGACTTTAAGAGTTCATAAAAAGCTTACTGGAGTCCAGTGTAAGAAGAAAAGACACCAATGTTTGCAGCACGGCGGCTCATTGTATCAAAGTGACAGATAAAGATGGACTTGACCATCTCGGTTTGTCTCCTTGACAAAGAGGACGACTGTGCCCTGGAAATGTCACTGTTCTTTCTTCTTCAGACATGGAGCTTCAGTAAACCTCATCTGGATTTTTCAAGTCTGGTGTGCTGGCTTTCCTTTCCGATTGGATTTACACAGCACCACTGTTTAGCTGTGCACCCACCCTCCTTGAAGGATTTCGAGAAAGTTTGTGGTATGCAATTACTTGACAGAGGTTCTATAATTATCCCACTTCAATTAACAAAAAATGATTTTGCTGTAGGCTGTGTCCCCATTGGAGAGATTGGGATTTTAGATTTAGGGCTCATGTACACTGCAGCTGATAAACTCACGTTTTAGGAGCTTTTGTTCGTTTTTTTTTTTCAGCAGCCCCTGAACTCACCCTATGGCTTTCATATGTGTCCATGTACACTATGTTGTTTACAGGCAGTTGAGTTTACAGTCATTTTTTTGAACGCAATAAACTTGCGTTCTGGAGTAGATTTTATCAGCGTTTCAAACTCCAAGCGCTTGTAAACGCAGCTAACCGCGTTTATAAGCGTTTGCGTTTAGAACTGTTTTTTAACTGTTCCATTTCTAGATGCTGTCCAGATCCTTTTTTCATCATATGGACAAAACACTGAGCACAGGATGTTCCTACCGAGCTTGTCACACATTGTAATGACCAGTTCACACCTCAGACCTCTCCCACCCTTGGAAAAAAAAGATATGTTAATGACCATTCACACCTCAAATTCCTCAGGAAGACCCCCTGCCAGGTGGACTTAATGACTCATTCCACCAGACACCTTTTCCACACTTGGAAACAAAATAAATGTTAATGAACAACTTACACCTAAGCTAATCTCAACACATACTGCTCTCTCAGCTTCTACTCTCTATTTATCTGAAACAGTCTGAAATAGTTAATAATTTACCACTTTCCAGTGCATTCTGGGCATTTGGGTGGTTCTCCTGTGCTTATCTTTAAAAAACTCTCCTAAATGCAAACGCACATAAACGTGGTATGCAAACATCAAAACTGACATTTTTTAACCTGCGTTTACCTGCTATCAATTTCCAGTGTTCAAACGTGAGTTTATGAGCTTCAGTGTACATGAACCCTTAGCATGACTTCCAACCCCTCTGATGGACCTGACACTAGGAAAGGAAGTGATGGGTAATCCTACAAATGAGGACATATATAGCAGAGAAAAACCTAGTTCTAATGTCTACCTGCAATTAAACAAAAATAGCCTGGGCTGGGGTTGAGATGCAGTGAAGTGATGCTGATGGTATGTATAGGTCTTGTTGCCATGATCCCTGTTGCCATGATCCCTGTTGATCAAAGTTTCATCTGTGGATTTAAAGAGCACCTCCAGCACAACTACCCATGACACACTGTTCACTGCATCTGTGCCTGCAACGTTATTGCCAGCACCGCTAGTGTCCCTTCCATATGTCAGACTACCATACTATTATCCCTAAAGGGTAACTCCACTTTTTTCAGAAAAAATAATAAAGCATATACAATTGCTACACAAACCATATTGCAAATGCAAATGTTATTAAAATTACCTTTCCTTTTTTTAATCCCCAGTGCTCTGATTTTCTGTAAAATTCAATGCAGTATGACAACCTGGAGGTATTCTGTATAGAATTGGTGTACAGAACACCCCCAGAAATTTAATTTTCCATGTGATTGGCTCACTGATTTTCCCAGAAGTCTGGACCAAGATATAAGTCAGATTTTAGGCATTCTCTTCAACAAAAATTTTATTTTTGGTGAGATACTCCTAAAGGGTTAACCACTTATACAGGGATACAGACCCTGAAACTTTCCTCATTAGAATACTGCAGGTGCATCAACTGATTATTAATGAAATAGTCACTCCCATTCAGATTCTCACAATGAAACAGATTTTTCTGCAGAGCAGAAGCCAGTAGGAATCTGCAACAAAGTTTGTTAAAAATCCTTGCAATGTGTGTAGATCACCCAGAGGGGATTGTTGTGTTTTTTGATTGTTTTTTTTTTTTAACAAAAATGGAGGTGCTCTTTAAAGTAAATATCACTTAAAAAAACGCAGTTATTTACCTGTTAACTGTATTTCCAGGAATCTTCTAGGACAGCTCACTTGAGAGATAGGGCTCCTCCCAGGAAACACCCGCTCCACCTTTTTTTCCCTTTATAGGCATCCTCTCTCCCATTGGCCCCCAGTATAAGAATATGACCGAAGGCCTAGGAGAAAACAAAGAAGAAAACCGGTAATAAAGACATCCCCCATAGGTTTGCAACATACCTGCACATAATTGTGTGATCAAACAGTAATCGGGGGGGAGTTACGCTGTCCTAGAAGATTCCTGGAAATACAGTTAACAGGTAAATAACTGCGTTTTCCCGAGTCATCTTCTAGGACAGCTCACTTGAGAGGAGTAGAATAGAAATACGTACAGTAGGGCGGGCACCCTGCTTGTAGGACCTTCCTGCCAAATGCCTGGTCCTTGCTGCCGATCAGATCCAGCCTGTAATGCTTAGTGAAGGTGGCGAAACTGGACCACGTTGCGGCTCTGCAGATCTGTCCGGGGGAGGCCCCCCCTTTTTTCCGCCCAGGAGGCCGCAGTGGCCCTCGTGGAGTGGGCTTTTTAGGCCGGGCGGTGGTGACAGGCCTGCCGACTTGTAACCTTCCGAAACTGCCTCCCTGATCCATCTGGCGATGGTGCCCTTGGAGGCACCGTCCCCCTTCCTTGGCCCCTGGAATAGGACGAAAAGCCGGGACGAGTGTCTCC